CGCGGCGGGGGATGCGGTGATGGAGAAGTCGCTGGAGACGCTGCGGAGGATCGGAGACGGCGTCATGCGGAAACACGAGCTCGCCTTTCAAGGTGTGTGACCGCCGGACAATCCGGGCAGGAGACCGCGATCCCCCCGTCCTCTCCTTTGCGGAGCCCGGTGCCGCCGGTCCCCGGGGCCGGAGGGGTTTGGGGAGGGGGCTCGGGTGGGTCATTCATGGGATGCGGCCTTGGCTCGCAAGGGGTTAAATAAAAGCAGCTGGGAAGTGATCAAAAACGAAACTGAACTTTGTTCCGTCGGGACGAGGCCGAGCCGCTGCTGGTGTGTGCAGAGGAGATAATTTAGTTATAGATTAGCCCTGGTTCCTCCTCGTGTCCCCCTTGGCTCGGACTGACTCTGCAAATAATTCTGAACGTCCAAAGATTAGTTAGCTCGGGAGTTCCAGAGCCTCACCACTTCCCCCCAGTTGGGGTGCAAGGGGATTTTTTAATGGGGGGAATTCTCCTGGTTAATGTGCTCACAGAACCATGAAACGCTTTGGGTTGAAATAAGATCTTAAAACTCATCCAGGCCCATGGCAGGGACACCTTCTGCTGTCCCAGGCTGCTCCAAACCCTGTCCAACCTGGCCTTGGGCATTTCCAGGGATCCAGGGCAGCCACAGCTTCCCTGGAAAATCTCTTTTCATGTATTTCCCCACTTGTGCAGGGTCCTGAAGCAGCTGTAGGAAGTTTCCCCCCCCCAGTGCAGTGTCCTGGGGATGAATTAAAAAGGAGAAGTGACCGATTTGACCTGGTTTTGTGTGGCTCAGGCTGGTCTGGGGCTGATCTCCCATCCTGGAGCTGCTCCTGATCCCGGCTCAGGATGGAGCCCAGCAGAGCAGTGCCTGCCTTTCCTCCTGAGGTTTTTTGTGCTGAAACCTTGCAGGAGGATGTGCCAATTTCTCAGCTTCTCGGGGTTTTTTTGGCTGCTTTTTTTGTTTGTTGAACACAAAGAGCTTCAGTTTCATCCTTGATGGGAAATGCAGTGGGATCAGTTCCTCTTTCCCAATTCCCGGACAATTCAATTCAACAATTCAATTGTTGAATGATTCTTGGGAGCGATGTCCAGGCTGAGCCGTGGATTTTTATCCCATTCCCGAGGTTCTTCCCCACGTTTTTCAGTCCCCACCAAGCCCATTTTTCTCCTCCACGGGTTAAAATGAAGGATTTAGAATCCAAATTCTTGATTAATTTAGAGGGAAAAACCCCGGGAATAATTAGAGGGAATCAGGAATGAATTTTCGTGAATTTCTGGGAATGTGGGATTAGGGAAAATTCACTGAGAAAATCCTGGATTCCAGCCCTGGAAAATGAAAAAAGACTGGGAATTCTGCGTAAAAGAAACAGGATTGGGAAAAGGTGGAGGTTTGGAGCCAGGAAAAAACAGGAATGAAGAGGAAAACTCGAGAAAAAATGAGAAAAGGGACCCAGGAATGGGAAAAAAAATCCCAAAATCCCGGGATTTCTGGGAATTTTGGGCTCCTGAGAGGAGGAATTTCGGGATATGGCAGGGAATTTTGGGAATTCCTGGTGTTTTCCTCCGAATTCTCAGTGAGCTTGCGTAGGGCTGGTGATTTCCTGAGTGCTGAGAAGGAACTGCCTCGGGAAGGCTTCCTGCAAGTTTGAGCAACAACAACCAGCAACGCCTTTCGGTTTCGTAAAGGCTTGGCTGCTTCTCCTGTTCGTGGCACTGGAGGTCGAGCTGGGGAATTCAGTCCAAAGGAGACTGAGAAAACCAGGAACAGAAAGCAAAACACAGAAGAAATGCAGCAGAATCAGAGAAAAAGGATTATTTAGGGAAAAAAAAAAAGTTATATTTCCCAGCTGTGATCCTGGGTTAATGAGCTGGGACAGGCCTGGGAGCTCTGCCCAGCCCAGGGTGAGGTTCTGATGTGGAGAGGGTTGGGAAGCTTGAGGCAGGGCAGTGTGGGGAGCTCAGACACCACAGCTGTCCCCGAGACAGGGGAAGGAAATAAAAGTGTGTCAGGGGCTGGGTTTTGTCTGGCCCAGGTGAGGGAGGGCAGCAGAGCCCTCTGAGGATGCTCTGCACATCCCTGAGAGGCTCCTGCAGCTTCAGGAGCTCCAGTGGTGGTGGGCTCACACCCCATCCCCGCTCCTCCCGCGGGGTTTTGGTGCTCCTAAACCCAAATCTTCCAGGAATGCTGCGGAAGCTGGAAATCCAGCAAGAGGAGGACCTGCAGTCGGTGGTGGAGGTGGCTGCCCACTTGTTCAGCGATGGGGTGACCAACTGGGGCCGCGTGGTGACGCTCATCGCCTTCGGAGCCTTCGTGGCCAAGCACCTGAAGAGCATCAAGCAGGAGCAGAGCATCAGTTCCCTGGCTGGGATCATCACGGACGCCCTGGTCTCGTCCAAGCGAGAGTGGCTGGAGAGCCAGGGGGGCTGGGTGAGTCACTGAATTCCTGAGCTTTTTCCCAACATTCCGGCCTTTTCCTGTTTCTGTGTCAGTGCTGACTCACTGTTTCCAGGGAGCACCGAGTCAGGGGGGTCAGCACCGGCTCATCCTGAGCTGCCTGAAGCGGATTGAACTGAAAATGTGTTCCAGCCCAGCCTGGGGCAGCATTCCCAGAGCCAGGGCAAGCCTGGGAGTGCTTGGAGCTGGCCCGTGGCTGCTGGGGGGGCTGGAATGGGGCTGGGGGAGCACAGGAGATGTGCTGGAATGGGGCTGGGGGAGCACAGGGGATGATGTTTTAGGATGGAATGGGGCTGGGGGAGCACAGGATGATGTTTCAGGATGGAATGGGGCTGGGGGAGCACAGGGGATGTGCTGGAATGGGGCTGGGGGAGCACAGGGGATGATGTTTCAGGATGGAATGGGGCTGGGGGAGCACAGGGGATGATGTTTTAGGCTGGAATGGGGCTGGGGGAGCAGAGGGGATGATGTTTAAGGATGAAATGGGGCTGGGGGAGCACAGAGGACGTGCCAGGCAGGCTGTTCCCCCCTCCCCTGCCCTCCTCCCCACGAGGGGTGCCTGGCAGGACACTGACCATCCCTTCTCTCTCCCAGGAGGGCTTTGTGGACTTTTTCCGAGTGGAGGACCTGGAGGGCAGCATCCGGAACGTTCTGATGGCGTTTGCAGGAGTGGCCGGCCTGGGGGCTGGCTTGGCCTACATGATCCGGTGAGGCTGGAGCTCAGGACCAGCACTTTGGGAGGACTGGCTCCGGGGGCTGCAGAGCTGCCCCTCCCTCAGGGAGTGCTGCTGACCCCAGGAGGACATCGAGGTATCCCCAGAGCAGCTCATTCCTGAGGAAGAGGAAGGTGTGATCTGAGGCTCTGGGTGCTGCTGGAGGATTTATTGCTTTGGGAACAGAGCGTGGAAGAGTTGTTATTCTGCTTCCTTCGAGAGGAAGAGCTGGGGAGCTCGAGTGGACTTGTTTCACTTTGATCCCAGAGGGAACAATCTGGGAGCTCCAGCAGCTCCTCCTGGGCTGGGTGAGGCGGCTGAGCCTGGAGCAGATGTCTGAGGGCTGTGGTTGTGGGTTTTTTTTCTGGAAATAGCACCTTCTGCTGCTGCTGCCCTGCCTAAACTTGCTGGAGCAGAGGCACTGGGTGCTGGAAGTGCTGTGCCAGCCTTCACCTGCCCCCAGGCGCTGCCAGCGGGGCCTGGGAGTGGCAGAGCTGTGCCCAGCCCTTCCCTCCCCGTGGGGAAGGGGCTTGGAGGGGCTGGGGGTCACACCCAGCTGTGTCCTGACCCCAGGCAGCCTCTCCAGGCTGCACAGACACAGCTGAGAAAGAGCCAGTGCATTTGTAAGTGTGTAAAATACCCTCCACTGGGCTGGGGAGGATGCAGAGAACCTGTAAATGTCTGTAAATCTGTAGAATATATACATTTTTACAGAGCTGACGATACGAAAAGGAGGAATTAATTCTGAACGTGGGTGCACTGCGCTTCATTCCTCACGGGAAGTGGCATTTTTGTGGCAAAGCCTCTCCTCCTGCCTTGACTCATCTCAAGTACTTGAGCAGCACAGCCAGGGAGGGTGACAAGCAGCAGTGGCCTCGTGGACTCGGTGTGACCACGGCTGGCTGGCAACAGCTGACGTTTCTGTTTGTTTTAATCTTATTTTTGGTGCCTCTTGCCCTCCTGGCTGGGGGCAGGGAGCTGTGGAAATCCATCTGGCCACTTCCCTTCTCTTCCCTTCCTCTTGCTCCTCCAAGCCATGAGCTGGACAAAGCTGATGTTTGAATGTAAAACGTCCTGGGGCTGCCTCTGCCTCAGTCCTGCAGCTCCTGCAGGTTCCTCAGGGCTGGCCTGGGCTCCCCTGCTGGCACCGTCCTTGTCCCCAGGACGTGACCTGGAGCCTGAGCCGTGCCCAGCTCAGCGATGGTGCTACAGCCAGGCCCTGCTTGTGTGCAAAACAAGCTGTAGTTTGGTCAATAAATGTCTTTTTTTTTTTTTTTTTTTGTTCTCATTCCTCTGGTACCAAACTCGAGGTTTCCCCCAGGGAGGGGCTGAGCTCTTGTGCTGCCCCTGGGGCTCTCCCCACAGAGGAGCAGGAGTTTTGGAAAAGCCTCTGGGGGCTGGCTGGAGGCTGCTCCAAGCCTTGTTCAGGGATGGGGAATCCAGAGGTCAGGGATGGGGAATCCACAGGTCAGGGATGGGGAATCCACAGGTCAGGGATGGGGAATCCAGAGGTCAGGGATGGGGAATCCAGAGGTCAGGGATGGGGAATCCACAGGTCAGGGATGGGGAATCCACAGGTCAGGGATGGGGAATCCACAGGTCAGGGATGGGAATCCACAGGTCAGGGATGGGGAATCCACAGGTCGGGGATGGGGAATCCACAATTCAGGGATGGGGAATCCAGAGGTCAGGGATGGGGAATCCAGAGTTCAGGGATGGGGAATCCACAGGTCAGGGATGGGGAATCCACAGGTCAGGGATGGGGAATCCAGAGTTCAGGGATGGGGAATCCACAGGTTGGGGATGGGGAATCCATAATTCTCTGGAAAAACCTGTGCCAGGGTCTCACCCAGCCCTGGTTTGGACTCTGTGGTGCTGCAGTTTCCCCACTTCTTAGGGGAGGTGCAGACCACTTTTCCTCCCTTTTTAGGGGGTCCCTGCACCCCCAGACCTCCCCTGTGGTCCCCAGATTCCCATCCCTGCACTTTTGGGGTGGATTTGTTCCTCTCTCGGCTCCGTGAGCAGCAGCTCTGCTGGGGGAGCTTCAGCTGGAAAATCCCTCTGGAGAGGCAAAATCCTGCTCCAAAATCAATCCTATCCCAAAATCAATCCTGCTCCAAAATCAATCCTGCTCCAAAATCAATCCTATCCCAAAATCAATCCTGATCCAAAATCAATCCTATCCCAGAATCAATCTTGCTCCAGAATCAATCCTGATCCAGAATCAATCCTGCCCCAAAATCAATCAATCCTGCCCCAAAATCAATCCTGATCCAGAATCAATCCTGCCTTAAAATCAATGCTGCTCCAAAATCAATCCTGCCCCAGAATCAATCCTGCTCCAAAATCAATCCTGCCTTAAAATCAATCCTGCCCCAGAATCAATCCTGATCCAGAATCAATCCTGCCTTAAAATCAATCAATCCTGCCCCAAAATCAATCCTGCCTTAAAATCAATCCTATCCCAAAATCAATCCTGATCCAGAATCAATCCTGCTCCAAAATCAATCCTGATCCAGAATCAATCCTGCCTTAAAATCAATCCTGCTCCAAAATCAATCCTGTCCTAAAATCAATCCTGATCCAGAATCAATCCTGATCCAGAATCAATCCTATCCCAGAATCAATCCTGTCCTAAAATCAATCCTGCCCCAGAATCAATCCTGATCCAAAATCAATCCTGCCCCAGAATCAATCCTGCTCCAAAATCAATCCTGCCCCAGAATCAATCCTGATCCAGAATCAATCCTGCCTTAAAATCAATCAATCCTGCCCCAAAATCAATCCTGCCTTAAAATCAATCCTGCTCCAGAATCAATCCTGCTCCAAAATCAATCAATCCTGCCCCAAAATCAATCCTGATCCAGAATCAATCCTGCTCCAAAATCAATCCTGCCCCAGAATCAATCCTGCCCCAGAATCAATCCTGCCTTAAAATCAATCCTGCCCCCAAATCAATCCTGCTCCAAAATCAATCCTGCCTTAAAATCAATCCTGCTCCAAAATCAATCCTGCCTTAAAATCAATCCTGATCCAAAATCAATCCTGCTCCAGAATCAATCCTGCTCCAAAATCAATCAATCCTGCCCCAAAATCAATCCTGCTCCAAAATCAATCCTGCCTTAAAATCAATCCTGCCCCCAAATCAATCCTGCCTTAAAATCAATCCTGATCCAAAATCAATCCTATCCCAAAATCAATCCTATCCCAAAATCAATCCTGATCCAGAATCAATCCTGCTCCAAAATCAATCCTGATCCAGAATCAATCCTGCCTTAAAATCAATCCTGCTCCAAAATCAATCCTGCCCTAAAATCAATCCTGCCCCAGAATCAATCCTGATCCAGAATCAATCCTATCCCAGAATCAATCCTGTCCTAAAATCAATCCTGCCCCAGAATCAATCCTGCTCCAAAATCAATCCTGCTCCAAAATCAATCAATCCTGCCCCCTCCAAAATCAATCAATCCTGCCCCCAGATCAATCCTCCCCCAAATCATTCCTGCCCCAGATCCGTGCCAGGATCCATCCCTGGGCCACCAAATCCCTTTTCGTGGGGCTCCCAAACACAGCCCTGAGTGACTCAGCCCTGCTGTGCCCAGGCTGCAAAATGCTGCTGCCTGTGGGTTTTCTGCTTTTTCTGGGGTGGTTTTTGTTTTGGTTTGGGGTTTTTTTTCTGTTGTTTTGTTTTGTTTTTTTTAAAATTTTTATTATTTTTTTAAACGCTGTGGCTGTGGGGACTATTTTGGGCCTGTTTGGTTTCCCCGGAGTGCGGTGAGGCCTAAATGCAAAACTGGGCCTTTGCCATGGAAATATGCAAAAAAAGGGGGGCCCTGGGGGCTTGGGGGGGCAGATTTGGGGTTTTTGGGGTTCTCCCAAGAGTTTGGGACATCCTAAATTCGGGTGTGGGTGGTTGGGGTGCAGGGGGAGCTCAGGGTTTGGGGTGCTGACGGCTCCCACAGTTTGGGTGGGGATATCCAGGGGAGCTTGGGGTGCAGGTGGAATTATTTGGGGTGCAGGTGGAATCTGGGGTGCAGGTGGAATTTGGGGTGCAGGTGGAATTATTTGGGGTGCAGGTGGAATTATTTGGGGTGCAGGTGGAATCTGGGGTGCAGGTGGAATTTGGGGTGCTGGTGGAATTATTTGGGGTGCAGGTGGAATTTGGGGTGCAGGTGGAATTATTTGGGGTGCAGGTGGAATCTGGGGTGCAGGTGGAATTATTTGGGGTGCAGGTGGAATTATTTGGGGTGCTGGTGGCTCACAGAGGTTGGGGTGGGTGCCAGGGAAGATCGGAA